TCTGTCATAGTTGATCCGCCTCCGATCCTTGAATAGAATAAATGTGTCAATGGCGGACGAAGAATTTTTTACAAAAACTAACAATGTTTGACATGCGATTTTGAAGGTAATTTTACGTGTTTAATACAATAAATGGATGAAACATTAACTAAGGGCAATAGTCATTGAGTAACAGAATTTATTAGCGAAAAATGTTCTGATGTACGCTCTTAAAAACCTTCAAGAAGCCGCGGTCATAGTTGTAAGTGTATGGTTTAGAAAAGTAACGAAAACAGCATGAGACGTCACGAGCAGGAAGGCCTTTTATTGGTTTCTATTATTATCACGAAAAGAAACGTGTATCTTATTGGTCACGATCATTTGATGACACTGGTATCAGGTACACTTTAGAAAAATGGTATAATGTAAGGTCTTACGAAGGAAACAGTAAAAAGATGTTTTTACCGAATGGAAATTATCGAAAATACGAACTGCAGAAAATCGCCCAAATTGAATTTCTTTGGCCCAGTAACTGTTCCTATTTCATCAACTTTGGTGACCCAAATCGGAAAATGGTCGCCTTTGGCGACTGGACGACCTTTAGTTTCACGAACTTTTGTCACTTCCATGTAAGCATGTGTCATTGAGTGTGAGCTGAGCTGAGCTGTTCTTTAAATACCCTACATCAATGAGACAGCAACTAAATGACACAACATGAACTTTTGTCACTTCAATGTAAGTATGTGTTATTGTGTGTGGGCTGATCTGAGCTGTTTTATAAATACCCCACATCAATCAGACAGCAACTAAACGACACAACATAATCTTTTGTCACTTCCATGTAAGTATGTATTATTGTGTGTGGGCTGATCTGAGATGTTTTATAAATGCCCCATTTTATGAGACAGCATTTAAAGGACACAACATGAACTTTTGTCACTTCCATGTAAGCATGTGTTATTGTGTGTGGGCTGAGCTGAGCTGTTTTATAAATACCCCACATCAATTAGACAGCAACTAAACGACACAACATGAAATTTTGTCACTTCCATGTAAGCATGTGTCATTGTGTGTGGGCTATAAAGCTGTTTGTTCTATTAATACCTTACATCAATTAGACAGAAACTAAACGACACAACATGAACTTTTGTCACTGCCATGTTAGCATGTATCATTGTGTGTGGGCTATAAAGCTGTTCGTTTAATAAATAACACACGCCAATGAGACAGAAACTAAACAACACAACATGAACTTTTGTCACTTCTATGTTAGCATGTGTCATTGTGTTTGGGCTATAAAGCTGTTCGTTCTATATTTGTATGTATAAAATCCAATTATCTGTTTATCGTTCTATTACTGGTCTTTTGCCCCGCCCTTAGTAGTACGCTTGACAAAAGCAAGCTTGATAATGTCTCCTCGTTGGGCATAACTTCTCAGTCACTATGACGTCGCTGATGATTCCTGCTCACGTCTCAAGGCTGTGATGCAAAAATTACAGAGCAACAGAGCAGGATGATGTAGGCAAAAGGAAGGACGATGAGCTGTTCTTTATAGACCCTACGTTAATGAAACAGCAACTAAACGACACAACAAAACTTGTCACGTCCGTGTAAGCAAGTTTCATAGTGTGTGGGCTGAGCTGGTCTATAAATACCACGACGTCAATGTGACAGCAACTAAACGACACAACTTGACTTTTTGTCACTTCCGTGTAAGCATGTTTCATAATGTGTTTGCTTATCTGTTCTATAAATACCCCCACGTCAATGTGCTAGCACCTAAACGATTCAACATGAGCTTTTGTCACTTCCGCGTAATCATGCGTCATAGAGTGTTGGCTTATCTGTTCTATAAATACCCCCACGTCAATGTGCTAGCAACTAAACGATTCAACATGAGCTTTTGTAACTTTCGTGTAAGCATGTGTCAAAGTGTGTTGGCTTATCTGATCTATAAATACCCCCCACGTCAATGTGACACAACTAAACGACACACCATGAGCTTTTGTCACTTCCGTGTAAGCATGTGTCAAAGTTTGTGGACTAAGCTGGTCTATAAATACCCCACGGTCACTTTCATGTTAGTATGTATCACTGTGATATATGACGCCGCTATGAATTCTTTCAGCCAAATGAAAATGCATATGTAGGACTCTGAACCGCGACGATTTGGCGCTGAAGTGCGTTTCTGATCACTCTGAAGTACGATGGTGGCATTGCGACGCTATTTTGTTGATAGTTTAATATAAGTGCAATGGCGGTAACGCTGAAGTACGAAGGACTACATAAACTATATTTCCAATGAGTTTCATGTCGATGTAAAAGTACATTTGTTTGTACGAAACAGTTTTTCAGTGTTTTTCAGGTTAATAAGGGGGTTATAATCTTTTAATACTACAGAAAACGGGGAGTGATTGGTGGAGAGGGGAAAATTAATGAACCTTCTGTAGCGGAAAAAAAAGTTTCTTTTTTATGTACAATATGGAGCGTGGCATACTTTAAATAGATACGGGTCTGCAGACAGACTCTCCGTATTATAATATTAAGGTGAATAAAGGCAACATTAGTATACCGCTGTTCAAAAGTCATAAAATTCATAAATCGATTGAGAGAAAACAAATCCGGGTTACAAACTGAAACCGAGGTAAACACATCAACTATGAGAGGAAAACAACGGAACAACAGAAACACTGAAAACAGGGTATTAAATAATTTCAGAATTATCATTTAATTGGAATTTGGGTAAATTTGTGGGATTGACAATTTTTATGTCTCATATGCATTAAAAGTAAAAAAGAAGTTAGGTAATGTCATCATCATATCCATACTGAACATAGTATCTTAATTTTAACGCTGTTTACTGACTTACTGTATGTATATTATTTTGGATTATCTTATACATAACGCCATACAGATGTGCACACAGCTTTTTTAACTCACCTGGCCCAAAGGGCCAAGTGAGCTTTTCTCATCAATTGGCGTCCGTCGTCCGTCGTCGTCGTCGGCGTCGTCGTCGTCGTTGTCCGTCGTCGTTAGCTTTTTACAAAAATCTTCTCTGAAACCACTGGGCCAAATTTAACAAAACTTGGCCACAATCATCATTAGGGTATCTAGTTTAAAAAATGTGTCCGATGAACCCGCCAACCAACCAAGATGGCCACCATGGCTAAAAATAGAACATACGGGTAAAATGTAGATTTTGGCTTATATCTCTAAAACCAAAGCATTTAGAGTAAATCTGACAGAGTAAAACTGATTGTCAGGTCAAGATCTATCTGCCCTAAAATTTTCAGACAAATCTGACAACCTGCTGTTGGGTTGCTGCCCCTAAATTGGTAATTTTAAGGAAATTTTGCAGTTTTTGGTTATTATCTTGAATATTATTATAGATAGAGATAAACTGAAAACAGCAATAATATTCAGCAAAGTAAGATCTACAAATAAGTTGCATGACCAAAATTGTCAGTCGACCCCTTTAGGAGTTATCGCCCTTAATAATCAATTTTTAACAATTTTTTGTAAATTTTTGTAATCTTTTACAAAAATCTTCTTCTCTGAAACTACTGAGACAAATTTAACCATACTTAGCCATAATCATTATTAGGGTATCTAGTTTTAAAAAAAATTCCGATGACCCCGCCTTCCAACTATCATGGCCGACTTGGTTAAAAATAGAACATAGGGGTAAAATGCAGTTTTTGGTTTATATCTCTGAAACTAAAGCATTTAGAGCAAATCTGACAGTAGCAAAAATGTTCATCAGATTTAGATTTATTTGCCCTGAAATTTTCAGACGAATCCGACAACCCGTTGTTGGGTTGCTGCCCCTGAGTTAGTAATTTTACAAAAATTTTGCAGTTTTTTGTTATTATCTTAGATATCATTATAATATCTAATATCTAATACTATTAATTATGATTTTAACCTTATTTTACATGATTTCCAAAGCATCAGAAAATACAGGTGAGCGACACAGGCTCTTGAGAGCCTCTAGTTCTAATACATTATTGACGTGAACCATTTTTTTGAGATAAGTTGACTGAGGCTGTGCCATGCACAGGGTTAGTTGACTGAGGTTGTGCCGTGCACAGGGTTAGTTGACTGAGGCTTTGCCGTGCACAGGGCTAGTTGACTGAGGCTGTGCTGTGCACAAGGTTAGTTAACTGAGGCTGTGATATGCACAGGGTTAGTTGACTGAGGTCGTGCCATGCACAGAGTTAGTTGATTCAGGCCGTACCATGCACAGGGTTAGTTGACTGAGGCTGTGCTGTGCACAGGGTTAGTTGACTGAGGTTGTGCCGTGCATAGGGTTAGTTGACTGAGGCTGTGCTCTGCACAGGGTCAGTTAACTGAAGCCGTGCTTTGCACAGGGTTAGTTGACTGAGGCCATGCCATGCAAAAGGTCAGTTGAGTCAGGCTGTGACATGTAAGGGTTAGTTAAATGAGTCCGTGCAGTGCACAGGTTTAGTACTCCGGCTGTGCTGTGCACACATTTTGTAAATTGAGGTTTAATGACTTGGGTTGTGCTGTGCTTATTGGTAGTTAACCCTTGCTGTGCTGTGCTCAAGGCTAGTAAAACTGGGTATGCTTGAAAAAAAGAGTGTATTCTTGTTTGCACACATTGGATAACCTTATCTAATGTCAATAGCACTATTGAAATCACTGGGTTTTTTTTTGCACAATTAACAATGATTAATATTTAGCTTGCTTTTAAATAAATTTCTTTATCTTACACGCTTATATATGCATGTATAGTTGTAGTGTATGCACCCTCTGGCCCTTAATCATCAACTGCTGTAATAGAAGTTAGTTTTAAACATAACAGCATGGTGAGTGTGTATTGTGCTTTTAGCATATGGGTCACTAACTAGTCAATTCAAGCACTTTGAAAACTGAGGGTTCTCTAGCTCTACAACTTTACGATAAATCATTGGCTTCTACATGTTCTATGAAAGTAATGCAATAAGCTGATTCTGAAGGTTATATTGAATTAATTGCAATATTTTGTTTAATCGAATAGACCACTTGCACATTGTTTGGTGATTAGTCGTACCGGAAGTACGTAACTTCGGAATTTCGAAATCTATATTGACTGAACCAAAAGGCGGGCAGAATTTCCAAATCCGCCATTGTAACCAGGGTAAATAAACGCATTTTAGATTGACGATGGTGAACAAGAATTGCATGTACGGGGTTTGTAAGAGTGACAGTAGGTACCCAGAGAGACTCGCGGAGAAGGATGTGTACTTTATTCCGTTCCCAAAACCAATACGGAATAGACTGAAGTGTGAAAGATGGATACGAGCTTGCGGACGACATGACCTGAACGTGGAAAAAGTGACAAAATACAGCTATATATGTTCACTTCACTTTGTAAGGGGAAACGGTCCGACTGAGGAATATCCGGATCCTATTCCTGCAGGAGCCTGTGAAGCTGAAAAGGAGAATTTCATGCTGCAGAACCGGAAAAGAAGGGCACCAATAGACCGTCCCAGCCTTGTGTGTAGGAAGGTGAAAAAAAACAGGTACGAAATGTATATATAATTTAATATAATGCTTGTATTTTCTTTATAAAGGTTCATAATGTTTACATATTACCTTGTTTCAAATTTGACATGCTTGACATATCTACCAATGACACTTTTAACTTGAACATTCAGGTGCTGCATTTATACATGTTTATGTACTCGTGGTACTAGGAAATGCTGTGTGAAATAATGCAGGCGCTGTCAAAAAACAGTTTCATATTTTATTCATTTTACTGTTCAACTTACAATCTTATAGAAACGTCAATTTGTATGAACAAGGCTATAAGGCCAATGAATATTGACTGCCCAAATAGCATACATGTAGTTGCAGAATAAAATCCATAACGACTTGCCACAATGCCCAATCACAAAAAATTTGCGTTACTGATGAAAAAGGCAATTCAACCCGCCCAAAGACATACACAAATAAAACAGAAATTGTATATCTCACTCTATGTACATTTATATAGACCTACCAGTTTGTCCAAATATAGTATTCACGAACAGAAAATATATGCATGATACAATGTATGTACATGTATGTTAGAAATATCTTAAGTATGTTGTGCAGTCTGCATCAAAATGTTATCTGATTACTAGTTCAAAGACCAATATTCCCACATTTTCCCTATGTGTCTAAACAAACTTTAACAACAACTTAATTACTAGTCTGGGGCATCAGACTAGTCGTTAACAGTACAGACTGTTGTGAAAAGCACATATTTAAATCCACAACATTTCCCTATATTCATGTCAAATATTACATGAAGATGTGGCGTGCAGTTAAAAAAAAATGTCTATCAACATGATAAACTGTCTATTTTTTGCATGTGTAATGTTTGATACAATAAAGCATTTCATAATTTCAGGAAAATCAGCTGATCAGAGAACAGTAGACCTAGATCACTCTTATTGTATAGTTCATGTTCCAGGTAAAATCTTTTAAAACATGTATATTTAGAAAAACGTCATCCTCAGTCAATATATCTTAAAATGTAAATTATACACCTCATACAAAGGCTACAATTGATATATTATCAATATCAGAACATATTTGTATCAAAATTGTCAGCACATTACAGTCTCTTTTTAAAATCATATAATTTTGTTGGAATAACTTCATTTTTATAGATTTCATATTTTATCTTGAACAACAACATATTGGTTGTTATTTCAAATATTTTGAATGTTTTTTTTTTTGTTATTGCTTACATGTATGTATTTGAAATTTTCCAGATTATATTTTTTTTAAATAATTGATCATGAAAAAGTACAATATCGAAAATCTTTTAACCATATCATGAAGTTCATAAGTTGATAATTCTCATATGATTTGCATATTACGGAATACATTGATATAATTGGTCGAGAGGACTTCCGGTAGTTGATCTTGACGTTGTTTATTTTTCGATAGACGACGTTGACCAAACTTCTTTTCGTAACCAATGTAAACAAGATGGCGGCGATAATAACACCGACATTAACAAAATTATTTTCACTGCACGTTAATCGTTAAATTAAATAAAAAACACAAAATCATTCATGGAATGATAATAAGAGTTTCTGTAGTTTATTTTTTATCAGATAGCAAATTTCATGGAGTACATATTTTTGCGTTAACCAACAAGTATATTCATACGCCAGGCCTATTCAAGGACACAAATATACAATTTACGTGTGATAAAGGTTACGAGTGTGGAAAAATATATTCCTTATCTCCAATTTTAAAGAATTATAAGGATTAAACGCCTTTTTAAAGGAATTTATTGGTGTATAAACTGGACCAAGTCACTCACAAACATATCATAAAAGTCCTTCGGACTTTTAATTGTTTGTGAGTGAATTGGTCAAGTTTATACACCAATAAATTCCTTTAAAAAGGCGTTTAATCCTATAACATCACACAAAGTAAAAATAATGGTCAGTACTATCATTTTTTACCCGCCATTTAGGATCCACCTTGTAAAATTTAGTTTTGAATGTGACTATTCCTGGACAAATCAAATTGGTAAAAATCTGTAAATTAATTTAGTATATAGGTAGGTGAACTCCAGATAAACAAATATAATTAAAAGTGTCTTTTTTCATTTTGTTGACAAGTTTTCTTTAGATTATTTATCTGGCTGAAATTATAATTTAATGTAGATTTTTTTTCTGAGCATCTGTGTTGGGCAAGTTGCAAAAATATATTTTTTTTTGCTAAATACATGTAGAAAATAGTTTACCAAGTACATGAAATATCTTGCAATATACAACAAAATCATCTAAAACTTTAAATTTATAGATAAAAGTATAAAAAAAGCATTAAGTGTGTATTTCAAAAAATAAAATCATTTTAAATATGAAGGGAAGATAATTTTATTAATTTATGATAGATAATGGATTTCATTAAATAATTTTAGATTTTGAAGCAGAGATTGAACTAGGGCCTGGAGACGAAGGGAAGGTACAAGATGACATTGACACCACTATCTTTACTGCTACTCCTCTACCTGTGGAAACAACAGGTAAATTAATATATTTATGACTGGACATAGGAGCTGTATATTTCTAAATGGACTGGAGGATATGTGGGAAGGTGTGAAGTTACAAATTTTATACATCAACCTTGGCAATCAAATGAAATAAATCAAGTAGTGCAGCACTGTTCTATTTCTGGATTTAAACATATCATAATCTAATAAGTGTCTTATATAAGAATGTTCCTTATTAGTCCCCTTCTGACGAAGTCGAAGGGGACTTTAGGTTTGCACTCCGTCTGTCTGTCCATCCGTCAGTCCGGCAAATCAGTTTTCCACACTTTTTTTCTTCATGCTTGAAGGTATTGATTTGATATTTGGTGTATTGTTTTATCATGACAAGTTACAGATCAAGTTCGAATTTTGTTCCGGTCTGATGATTTTGTGCAGAGTTATGGTCCTTTGACTTAGAAAATTCACTAAAATAATCAGTTTTCTGCACTTTTTTCCGTCATGCTTTAAGATATTGATTTGAAAATTGGTATATAGTTTTATCATGACAAGTTACAGGTCAAATTGGAATTTTGTTCCGGTCGAATGATTTTGTGCAGAGTTATGGTCCTTGGACTTAGTAAATTCACTTAAATAATCAGTTTTCAACACTTTTTTCGTCATGCTTGAAGATATTGACTTGATATTTGTTATATAGGTTACACCATGACAAGTTATAGATCAGGTTAGAATTTTGTTCCAATACAATGAATTTTTAACCGGTAGGGGACTATGTATTGCCATGCAATAC